GGACCGCATGATTGACACCATGAATGATTAAGCATTATATTATTATATCTGTTGGTGTTCCTCATAATATTTTTATCTTTTGAAAAAATACTCATTCACGTATTTGATTTTATTATATTTGAATCCTTGACAAAAATATCCAGATCAATTTCTATTACTATTAATTCGTAAACCAATTTATTTATAAAATTTTTAACTATTATTTTTTTATATTTCAAATACACTTTAACATACAATTTATATTATAACTAATAATAATATTATAATAAACGAATAAATGAATGGTTTATGAAATATATGTGGGAATTAATGGTTAAATCAATTAAACTAATATAATTTAAAATGTGAAAAACGTAAACGCCGGCGCCTTTAAATAGTTTATATAAAGATTTTCAACTCCCGAGAAATATTAGTACAAAAAAACCTTCATATTATTGATTATCTGCGTCCAGGTTTAAAGATAAACGTTGGTCACACGATTATTACTATCACCATTACCGTTAAGGTTGCGATTGTTATCATCATAGTAATAGCCATCTTTCTCTATACATCCCGGAGCATTTCTAAATAAACTGAATCTTTCAAAATTTATACTTAAATTCTTGTTAACAAGAATTTTAGGAAGTTTTGGTAATTCAATTGGTGAATCTGATATTCTACTTTGATTAAAGTCATTATCTTCTACCAATATTTTTATCTCGCCGTCATCGTCAACATCAACATCAACCATAATAAGACCTAAAAATTTCTCGATATCTGATTCTTTTAAAACGTTAACATCCTCATCACCATCATCACATTCAAGACTTAATTCTTGGTTAACTAGTAGCCCTAATAAAAACGACAACGTCAACAATGATAAATTTTTAACACTTAACCAAAATACCGATGGTAATATTGCTAGTAGTGATAGTACTCCGACAAACAATTGTTATACAAATAATGATATTTATGACAATTATATTTATAGTGAAGATGAGAATAACTATAATTATAATAATCGTGAAAATTTCTTTATTAATCAAAGGAAAAATACGACCGCTATTCCTCCTGCTGCTGATTCTA